GTCTTTGGTTAAGGTAAATGACGCGTGTAACAGCTAAAACGTTATTGGTATTGCAAATAGCTGTAAACATCTTCGCAATGCAAGCGAACATCTTTCTTTACGCATTGCATTACCTATTAATGTATTTGCAACTTCAACACGCGCATTGCAGGTGCTGCGTACAGCTAATAAAACTGTGACATTTGGAGACAAAATGTTTACATCATTATCAACGTAAAGAAGTTAATCGTGTCTAGATTATAGTTCGACATTTTTTTTTCTTTACTCAGGAGAACTAAAGAGAGAACTGGGAACCACTTGTTCGTGGTAGCATTTTCGCGTTATGCTGTCAGCCCGAAAAATATAAGGGCAGGATAATAAAAAAAAATTAGGAAAGTTTGAATTAAAATATTAAGACGATTAAGTTTTTATTGGTTCACATTTTCCTTGAAACGTCTATGGTTAAGGTAAATGACGCGTGTAACACCTAAAACGTTATTGGTATTGCAAATAGCTGTAAACATCTTCGCAATGCAAGCGAACATCTTTCTTTACGCATTGCATTACCTATTAATGTATTTGCAACTTCAACACGCGCATTGCAGGTGCAGCGTACAGCTAATAAAACTCTTAGCTTTGGTAACAAAATGTTTACATCATTATCGATGTAAAGAAGTTAATCGTGTCTAGATTATAGTTCGACACTTTTTTTTTCTTTACTCAGGAGAACTAAACAGTGAACTTGGAACCACTTGTCCGTGGTAGCATTTTCGCGTTATGCACTCAGCCCGAAAAATATAAGGGCAGGATAATAAAAAAAATTAGGAAAGTTTGAATTAAAATATTAAGACGATTAAGTTTTTATTGGTTCACATTTTCCTTGAAACGTCTTTGGTTAAGGTAAATGACGCGTGTAACAGCTAAAACGTTATTGGTATTGCAAATAGCTGTAAACATCTTCGCAATGCAAGCGAACATCTTTCTTTACGCATTGCATTACCTATTAATGTATTTGCAACTTCAATACGCGCATTGCAGGTGCAGCGTACAGTTAATAAAACTCTTAGCTTTGGTAACAAAATGTTTACATCATTATCGATGTAAAGAAGTTAATCGTGTCTAGATTATAGTTCGACACTTTTTTTTTCTTTACTCAGGAGAACTAAACAGTGAACTGGGAACCACTTGTCCGTGGTAGCATTTTCGCGTTATGCACTCAGCCCGAAAAATATAAGGGCAGGATAATAAAAAAATTAGGAAAGTTTGAATTAAAATATTAGGGCGATTCAGTTTTTATTGGTTCACGTTTTCCTTGAAGCGTCTTTGGTTAAGGTAAATGACGCGTGTAATAGCTAAAATGTTATTGGTACGGCAAATAGCTGTAAACATCTTCGCAATGCAAGCGAACATCTTTTTTTGCGCAATACCTATTAGTGTATTTGCAACTTCAACACGCGCATTGCAGGTGCTGCGTACAGCTAATAAAACTGTTAGATTTGGAGACAAAATGTTTACATCATTATCAATGTAAAGAAGTTAATCGCGTCTATATTATAGTTCGACACCTTTTTTTCTTTGCTCAGGAGAACTAAAGAGAGAACTGGGAACCACTTGTCCGTGGTAGCATTTTCGCGTTATGCTGTCAGCCCGAAAAATATAAGGGCAGGATAATAAAAAAGATTAGGAAAGTTTGAATTAAAATATTAGGACGATCAAGTTTTTATTGGTTCACATTTTCCTTGAAACGTCTATGGTTAAGGTAAATGACGTGTGTAACAGCTAAAACGTTATTGGTATGGCAAATAGCTGTAAACATCTTCGCAATGCAAGCGAACATCTTTCTTTCTGCATTACCTATTAATGTATTTCCAACTTCAACAGGCGCATTGCAGGTGCTGCGTACAGCTAATAAAACTGTTAGATTTGGAGACAAAATGTTTACATCATTATCAATGTAAAGAATTTAATCGCGTCTAGATTATAGTTCGACACCTTTTTTTCTTTACTCAGGAGAACTAAAGAGAGAACTGGGAACCACTTGTCCGAGGTAGCATTTTCGCGTTATGCTGTCAGCCCGAAAAATATAAGAACAAGATAATAAAAAAGATTAGGAAAGATTGGACTAAAATATTGGGACGATGAAATGGCCTCATGCGGCGCTGTGTTGTTGTGCATACACCGAGAGCGAGAATAGACGGGTTGTACCATAGCCTTCTCAATACTCCTAAAACCTGACAGTTCGATGACGGAGCCATAGAATGCCCGGTCGCAGATTTCGAGCACGAGGATCTGGCAGCACAGAGCATCAAAAAGCCATTCCTCGGGGAACCTGTACATCAGCGCACACCTTTCGCAGCGGCGAGGACCTGAAACACACTTGCTCGCTCGGAAGAAGCGCGTTTCAGTCTCTCGCCGCAGCGGGGCGCCAGTCACGTGGCTCTTCTCTCATCCGTTGTCTGCCGCTCCTACGTTTCCGCTTCGGCGGCCGCTTCTCGTGTCAATCTGCCAGTCTTTATGAGTATATACGAGGCTATGGCTGCACCCATGTTTTAATCGCGGGGTGCTTCAGCAGACCAAAAAGGCAGATAGTTATCGTTTGCAAAGGTTATTTTTTACTACTTCAACACTGCCGTTTTTGATCCTTGCGGTTCAACTCCGAAAAATCCCCAGTTGTGGTAAAACTGTATAAAAAGCAGGCATTGCAGCCTTCGAAAAGTAAGCAAAAAGACACCCGTGTGCAAAGCCATGCATGACCGGTGAAAGCCTGGCGCAGCCATAGAAGAGTTGTTCCGAACGTGGGGTTAGGGAAAAGCTACTCAACCGACCTTCCGTGTGCTACAGAGAAGGCATCCGCTAGGCACTCTCGTTACCGCTGTGTTGGCGCGACTGCTGTGTCACGTGCCGCCCTTTCGTTGGCGCGGTGATCGCTTGCTTATGCGATTTATTTTTTTATTGTCGTCTTTAAGAATAATTATTTTTAACCTTTTTACAACTTCTGTATAAAAGTAACTAATTTAAAATACCGCGGAAGTGCCTTCCTTATTCAAGCGCCCACTATTAACATTTCCCAAACTTGGGAATGCTGCAAATTATGTATGAAGCGCAGAATTTGACCGGACAAGCGTCCACCTACTGATTAACCAAGTTTTCATTGAAAGTGAGGTGGGCGCTTCCCTGGTATTTCACGGTACATTAGCTTTAATAACAACTCAACTATTAATAATAATACCGCTGAATTTCTAATGACGCTTGAACAGAAGGGTCTTAACACTAAACCGAGGCACTAAGCAACTTCTGTTTTTGGTCATACTGGCATGCGTTTTTTTTTTTTCTACAAATGTTTCGTGTAGTAAAACTGAAAAACTAATTATTTGTTTTGTAATAATGGGGGTGAAACTTCATTGTCAAACATTCGTACGTCAATTGCATTTCCTTTAATTGCCGCGGTTTCGCCCTTCATTCGGCAATATTACACTGGCGAGTGATTCTGATGTAAAAACTGCTTCACATATAACTTTAAGAAAGCATTTTCATTCAAGGCAGTTGCGTTGTTGTTGTTTTTCAGAAAAGTGTTAGGAAATGTTACCTTTTATTGCAAAAAAAAAGCAACGTACAGGTGTAGTTTGAATGTCATTATTAAGAAAGCGGATGGCTGCAAATTCAGTGCTCTGCAGTTATCATAGATTTATAACTTGCATAGCGCAATGTAGGGGTTGACCAACATTGAGTGCGGCGATAAAGGGCATGAATATTAATTCCACTTTATTGCTATTTGAAAAATCCAACCTTCAGCGTCATCCTACCAGGAAGGTACCTGTGCTGCACGTTGTGAGGGCTATATTTAGTTCGTTTTAAAGACGTATCCTTAAAAATTAATAAATACTACGCGCACTACCTATAAAAAAAATCTGATTTGAATTTGCCGACGTAATTCGCTTTTTTCGGCATGAAGAAGCCAAGTCTCGAACCACATCTTCGGCAGTTTTTATGCATCGTTTCAATTACCACATGACCATACATTTTCTGCAAGCAGAGATTGCGCGGCGTTACGATCCTACAATACACGCCAAAGAGAAGAACCAGGCACATGCAAATATATCTAGAGGTAAACAAAACGAGTCTTCGGACGCGAAGGATTCTTCAAATCCATTCAACCCTCTTTTTCCGGACAGCTGCTTCGAAGCAGTTTCCAGAAGGAGAATGCACTGTTGTACGAAAAAAAAAAAATTAATATATTTTTTTTTCGCAGTAGTTTTTTTTTTTTTTTTTTTGAGAAGCGTAGGTTTTGCTATTGTAATCATGACAAATTTTGAAACACCAAGAGTTATTCAGAAGAAACAAAATGTTTCTTCGAGAGAAATTGTAAAATTGTCTTCACTGTTTCAGAAATAATTTCTCTTGTCCTCTCAATTAACCACCTAAATATTCAAGTTAGATTCAGTAGGAAACTAAATTTCACACTAGGAGCTCAACACCATATACGCACATTTAATAACAAAGACACCCTAAAACACCTACGAAAAGATATCTGACAGTCTAAGAGGACTCTGTGCACACAGGTACCCAACTGCGGAGGACATTAGAATAGGACATTCCAGAAGGTTCCGGGGTCGCCATTGGAATCTCCTTCAAATGAGGATTGGAAGAAACGTCTCAACAAGTGTATCGAATTAGGCGGAGAGTACTTTTATGTGACTCAAATGTTAACGTGTGAAAATCAACACAATTTAATAAAACTAAATTTCGGATTACTTTGGGTCCCTCCTTGTATTTTTCCTTAGGAGCTTGGAGTTAGTGAAGCTGTTTTAACAGCTCTGTTGCGTTATTATCAACCAACTTTCTTTGAATATTGAAGAAATAAGGGTAATATTATTATTACTACGTGTAAAAACCAGTTAATTCCAGTTGTGTGTTTCACCTCTGAAAATATAAAACTCTTTGCCTCTATATTTGTTTTAGCAAATATTTTTAGACTTTGCGTTTTTATTTTGTTTGATGATTGATTTTTTTTTCAATTTCAGGAAGAACGGCTTATAACCGCCTTTAACATGATGAACGTGCTGGAAACTATGGTCCTCCAGATGCTCGAATACCAGCCCGCTAACGACGCCACTTCCGCCTTCAACCTCAGCCACAAGTATCTGAGTGAGTGTTTATCTCGCTTAATTAATGTACCCACCTATACTCATAAACTCTATTTCGCAATAAGGTCTGATAAATAGTATAATACCCTAGTTATAAGGGCTGACTTACGCTTAACCAGAGTTACCCTACTAAATTCTCGGACAACCTTTTGTGGCTATCTAGATAAAGCTAGAATCAATCAATCAACCATTGTTTATTGTAGTGTCCAGGAACAACCAGTCGTTCTTAGTTCTGGCACAATTTAAAACAAACAAGAAAAAACACACATACATACACGCAGGTGCAGAAGGTTCACCAGTTCACCAGTCTGTTTCACTAGTAACCAGTCTGGTTCACCGTGGTTCACCAGTCTGATAATTAAGATATTAACAAGTACGAAAGACACTCAAATCGACAAGGGAAATCAAACGCAAAAAACAGAGACATCACCAGGTGTGAGATCAAAAAGTACTTGGATATCGTACTCACAAACATCAACCCTTCACCTAATCAGCTCTTTCCTTGCAAGAGGAAATTTTGAACAGCGTTTCCGAACTTGCTTCCGCATAAGTTAAAATGTCAATTGTATCAGAGGAACGGTTATAACACTTAGCCGATATTTGGATTGAGTTTAAGTGGCTAAAATGTCGAGCTATGTAAAAAGATGATTGAAGCCGTGTAGGCTCACGTGGATCTCTAAGACTCACTTCGAACAGAAAGAAGGCTAGGAGAGTTAATCGAGCGTGCAGGGTCTTAAATAAAAACAACAGATCTTCACCCGACGCTGCTGCAAGCTCCACAAGTTGACGAGTTACGAGTTACACCCAGCGTTTAAACAAGGATCACCTTTTGCAAGGTGACGATATTTAAAGATGAAAATAAATTTGGTTTGGAATCGCTCGACAGTTAAACTGTTAGTTTTGGAATTGCCGTTCCAAACAACCGAGGAGTACTCTAGCTGGGATCTAACTAAGGAACAGTACAGCGTGCCGGTTTGCTCTCAGTGTAACAATCGAATCAACAAACATACAGTTCCAGTCATAGCGCATAACCATTCCTAGGACCTCAGCTTCTTGTTTAAAAGCTTAAGTTGTTCGTGTCCAAAGATATTAATGTACTCGGAAGCTCATGTGAAACTTTTAAATTGTTAGAGATAGACAATTTTCGCTTTATTGACAGCCTCACATTTCTTAATGCAAGCCTGGAGACGCTCGTGCGAAATCTCCACTCTAAGGACACAGAACATTTTTGTTTTGCCTTCAGCACTCCTTTCCCGAGCACGTCGACCTCCTTGCCCGCAAAGGTGTGCTTTGTTATAATTTGACTACAAGCTCTGCGAGTTACGAGAGGCAGAGTTTTCCGCCTAGAGAGGCCTTTTTTTAACAAGTTGACTGGAAGCGGGGTGTTTGAAGATGACTACTAACATGCCCAGGTCTTTTTCCGTACCTTTGATTTCAAGAATCTTAGAGAATACAGCGACTTTTATCTGAAGACGGACTGCCTCCTACTGGCCGACGTTTTCTAAAACTTTAGACGGAGGACGCTGGAAACGAACGAGATTGAGGCTTTACATTTTATATCGTTAGTGTCTCTAAGCTTGTCGTGTGCGCTGAAACAGTCGAAAGTAAGATCATGTGTCATAATATACTACTCATCAATTGGCGGCACTTAAAAATATTTTAGAAAGGAATTTGAATATATTCTTAGATTTCATCAAAGAGTGGACAAACGGAAGGTCCCCTTGCTTTAATTAAAAAAAAATTTTTTCAAGGATATTAATTTTCTGAGCGCATAATTAGAGTTTCTCTTTTTTGTGTGTTTCCTGCAGACGTGCCTAAGCACACATACGTGCACCCGAATCGTCAAAAATATAGTTTCCGAAAGTGGCTTTACTGCGAGGTTTTTTAACCTTAAAATGCTAAAGGCATGGGGGGCTGGACGTATTTGGGAGGTGAAGGGGCGGCGGAGTGGGTGAGCTAAAACATGCATTTATTTTATCAGAGAATCGCCTCCCTTGGCCAAGTTATCTTGAGTAAACGAGGTGATGTGTACCAGATTTTACTGAATCTACCAGTAAATCGAAGGTTACTTTTGTGTTCTGATGAGCCCCAGGGCGGGGGCTACTTGTCTAACGTACTTGGTCTGTCATTTTAATGTGTAGTGTTTTATGGAGAAACACAAAATCTATTATATTCAAGGGAGCTCCAAGTAGCACGCCAGACGCCTAATTAGGCACAAGCTCGGAAATCCTAGCGTCCTAACTTCAGCCTCATTAAGGTTTGCTCCAAACCATTGGTCAGTGATAGGGTACATTTCCTTGGACGATACATTGCAACACTTGTAGCTGTGTTCCGGGACTTTAGCTGATAAGTGTCCTGTGGAGAAGCTGTGAGACTGTTGTTCGTAAACTTTTGAAGGCTTTTAGAGCGCAGCTCTTAGGGGCCGGTTCCCGGCTTGAGCGGCGTCGGCGTCGGCGTCGCCGTCGGCGTCGGCGTAACCAAGGTCACCCCAAGGTCACGTGACCCCAAGGTCACATGATTCCAAGGTCACGTGACAGAGGTCACGTGACCCCTCCCCCAGGGTCACGTGACCACCGAAAGTCACGCGACCCCCGAGGTCACGTGACCCCCCGAAGTCACGTGACACCCCCCCCCCGAGGTCACGTGACCACCTCCAGGGTCACAAGACCCCCGCCGAGGTCACGTGACCTCCCCGATGACGTCATCGTCACTGATGACGTCACCGGCATCCGCATCGTCATCGTCATCATCACTGATGACGTCATCAGTGACGTCACTGATGACCTCACCGGCATCCGCATCGTCATCGTCATCATCACTGATGACGTCATCAGTGACGTCACTGATGACATCACCGGCATCCGCATCGTCATCATCACGGATGACGTCATCAGTGACGTCACTGATGACGTCTCTGACATCCGCATCGTCATCGTCATCATCGCTGATGACGTCATCGGAGTCCGCATCGTCATCGTCACTGATGATGTCATCAGTGACGTCACTAATGACATCATCGGCATCGTCACGTGACCCCCAAGGTCACCTCAAGGTCACGTGACCCCAAGGTCACGTGACCCCCAGAGGTCACGTGACCCCTCCCGCAGGGTCACGTGACCCTTCCCCCAGGTCACTTCACCCCCCCCCCCAGCACCCTTCGCTCCTCCTCCTCAAGAGCTGCGCTCTAATTCGGTGTTACAGGGAGTTGTAAACGGCTTTCACTTTTTTTTATAAAAAAATAGTGAGGCGGCATATCTCAACGACTCGTCAATTTTGCATTATGGAAATGAATTTCAGTTTTTCCATGATCAGATACTGACTTTATAGTTCTTTATAGTTGAAAGTTATTTGAAAGTTAGCGCTTGTATTGTTTACTTCGTGCCTTTTTGAGCTATTTTAGATGTTTAACTAAGATAATCTCACTAGCTCAGCAACGTACCTTACTGAGTTTCTACAACTTTTCTTTGACTCGCCACATGATTGGCAGACTGCCTGATATGCACGAAAGATGAAATCCAAGCCAGCAGCTAACACTAAATCTGACACTTGTTTAGCAATTTATGCCCGATATTGACATGTGAAAACCGAATAACAAGAAGTGAAGCCGAGCTCTTGCACTTTTTGGGCGATTTAAGCCTAAAGGTGCCAAATATTATTTTTTATATATATCTAGAGTTATACATGTATTCAATGTAGAGAACAGCTGCTGTAAGTTGCCTAATAACGGCGTCAACTTAGCTCGATGGATTTGTTACTTGAAAGTGTGTCCTGACATCGTCTTTAATGCTGTGAAACTAAAGTCTTGTTAAGTAACAAGTGCAGTGTTGAGTATTTGAGCAATTGAGAAAATGTAGAAGAATAACGCTTATTTACAAAAATAAAAATAAATGTAATTGGTTAATATTTATTCTCTTTTCGTTTAACTACTACTCAGGCTTTTCTGGAAATGTTACGTAGGGTCGAATGAACACTGTTTAGTGCTAACTTGTTAACTTTTCATGCTGGTATTTCATTCATTGTTTTCAAGAGCCCTTCAATGCCTCCTGCTAGAAAAATTAACAAGTATAAAAAGTCAGAGCGCAAACGAGCTGTTTAAGATTAGACATTACAGAGCCTTCTACCGACTTTTCGTGTGTGTTGTCTTTACCTGCAATCTTGGGAATGTGTTTCGTCTAACAGTTATTTCTGTTGTTATTTTTTTGCAGGAGTGGAAGCCACAAAAGTAACTGCAAATCGGCTGAGGAAACCAGCTATGCTGCCTTCTAATCAAAGCAACAACAGCCTCAAGCTTCCACCTAATTTTCTGAGTGGAAGCCATGGTAATGTAAGCATCCTGTTCGCAGAGTACACGAATGTCCACGACATTCTGCACCCTCCCCATGAGTGAGTTTTTTTTTTTTAAGATTTCTTACTTAATTGAGATTCTATCATTTATTGTTGTATTGTTTTTAAAATGCTCTCTTAATGTTTTTTTTTTTGTGTAACAAATACAGAGAGGATAAAACTCCAAGTAGAAGTTTGCAGACAGCTGTCCTGACAGCGACGGTCATGCTTGAAAGCAAGGTTGTGACCGCCATTGAAGGAACCATTGATCTGACATTCAAAGTAACTCCAGGATACAGAAATCCGACTTGTGTCTTTCTGGACAGGTGAGTAACAATATTTATTTTTTATTGCATTGAACGGGTGCGCTCGAATGAGCACGGTTCACCGGCTACAAAAACTCAAGTATTGTCCAGTCTTCTAGCGGACATTAGCACTTTCGAACGCCATATTGCTTGCAGACTACTTGAGAATCTACCGCTGCATTTAGGTTTCTCTATATATTTTATGTCTGCACAATAAATTATCACAGCACCGTCTGTGAAATATTGGCGAGAACCGATCAGACACATCAACAAGAAAGGGCAAACAACCTGGAATGTATCAAAGTCACACGTAATATATTTATTTTTATTGGAATTGACGCTTAGCATAAGGGGCTGCTCACCGCTTTTTGTTGTAACAACTGACAAAATTGGTGTAAATAAAAACCACCCGTTCCACCTTACAAATAATATGTCCAGCAAATCCAAATTCACAAACGGCTTCGTACCGCAATTTCACGACATAAAGGTGGCATACTCAAACGAGCCTTTTATGTTATTGGCTTCAAATACCAAAGCTTTTCGCTGAAGAGAGCTGTCATAATACTGTCACCTAAAATGACGACTAGAGCAAAATATAGTTTTGCTCCACCGCTGAATATAATTCTTCACGCGTTCAGCATACGACCCAAACATCACGTTTAAATAGGAGAAAGTTGTCTTCAATATATAGACTTGTCGCAGAAAACTCTTAACTGACATTTCGGTTTTGTCATCGACCGGATGCCTCCACTACAGTTGGAAGTATGTCTAACATAGAAAGCGTAGGAAAGAATCGTCCCATCCCTCGCAGTATTCAATGATTCTGGAAGAAGTGCAAAATTCTAATGTCTAGCGGCAATGCCTCTGAAGTTTTCACGATATAAAGGTGAAAAATACTGAACGGCCGCATACAGTTCTGCAAATTATATCTTACGCCGTCAAGAAAACATTTAAAAGGACCACCTTCCTGTGGAGGCGTCCTTCAACAAGTCGTTTTTTGGGCATCAAGGCTCACACATTTAATCGTATCCTCCTTCTGCCATTCTTTCTGGCGGATTGCGCGGGGCAAAGCCCTATGTAAGAACAGTCGGCATTCTTTACTCCCTATCCATCATCCAGCAAACTTGTGGGATTCTGGGAGCAGACAGTGTTCACCGGCATTCGACAAATTTGTCGAAGGACGAATGATTGACTTCGGTTTTGGGGGGAGGAGAGGGTGCAGGCAAGAAAGCTTTATTATTATCCCTCGAAGACGACTAGTGGCTAGTGAGAGAAGCTATTAATCTCTTTGGCAGTGCAGATGCTTGAGTTCACGCTCCTCGGCTTTTAATTGTGTTATGCCTCCGTTGTTACAAATTATGGTCCTGTTTCCTTGTCTTCTGGACTGACGAGCTCCGGAAAGACAAACCAGCAGAAGTTGCGTCCGCGAGGGAGAAGGGAGCAGGTGGTCAAATGGAAAGACCAGACCGACCTTTGAAGGTGTCGCAGGCGGCAGTGATCGATGCGACAACCGAGGAGCTCGTCAGTACATTTGGACAATCTCGGTGTCATGCGACTATTGAAGCTGACTTCAACGGCGTTCGGAAGTGCTTCCGGCTTCGACGTTGGCTTGGCCAGAACTTGACCTTGAGTCTCTTCATTTTTAATTTCCCAGTCTGGGTTTGGATCATTGGCCTCCCGCATTTGGGGTATACTCCCAAGTACCAGATCATAGAAAGGGTTACTGACAGATTTTGCCGTCACCTTCCCTGTATAGCAGGGTGTTCGTACAACTATATCCGCCTCGGGCAGATATCGAACCGTGCGGTCTAGCAGAAACACCGGACTTGACTTTCGTGTTAGGCTCTCTCGGGGAACCAACTCCTTACGGACCACGACGGTGTTACACCCGGTATTCCTTAATACCGTTATCTTGTGCTCCCCGAGACGGCCTTCCACGACCGGCATGTTCTCTACTAAGAACTTTGGAGGTGTTCCCATGGCCGCGTTTACTACCGGGATTTTGTCACCATTATTCAGTGTTACGTAGGAGTCGTCAGGTGCGTCGACAGCCCCTGTTGACGCAGTCCATAAGCACGAGGCTTGCTGCTTCTCGTTCTGCCTTCCCTTGCAGTTTTCCGCCCTATGACCAGCGCGGCCACAATTCCAACACGCCACTGTTTTCTTGCCTTGCGCGTTGCTTCTGCAATTTTCGGCCTTATGTCCAGCCTTCCCACAGATGAAGCAGCGGGTAGCTTTTCGCGTCTCTCCCTTTGCGTGAGTGTCTCCGTTTCCTGCACCTTGTCTGGTTGTCACCTCGTCTGACTTTTGCCTAATTGAGCTGGATGGTATCTGGGCTTCTATGAACAGGTCTGCTCTTGCTGCTACGTCTTCCAAAGTCTGAGAATCACGCTCTCTAAGAAAGACGGCCAGTTTGCTGGAGCAGGTCAACATGAACTGTTCCACCAGGACCTGGTCTCGTAATGCTTCGAAACTCTTCTCAACTCCAGCTATCTCGAGCCATCGGTCAAAAAATCCGGCCAATCGGGCAGCGAATTGTCTGCGCGTTTCGCCCTTCTCGGGTTCGGCGTTGCGAAACCGCTCGCGGTACCCGTCCTTAGTATACCTAAATCTTTGGAAGAGCGCTAGCTTGACCTTTCCGTAATCCAACGCATCCGCCGGTGCCATCCGGCCAACCACAGACAGTGCCTCCCCGGTCAAGCGTAAGCTTAGTTTGTTGGCCCATTTCTCCGAAGGCCAGCTCAATCCTGTTGCTGTACGCTCGAAGCGCAGCAGATGCTAGTCTAGATCATCCCTCCGTTCGTCGAACTGCGGAATTAACTTGTGAGGACTCCCTCGAATTGCTGGGCCTGGCGCTTCCCCACGCTCGTCTCCCACAGTTCCCTCACTTTCATGACTAATCTCACGTGCGGCGATTTTCAGCTGCAGAGTCTCCCTTTCCTTTTCTAATTTAGCGCACTCTGCGGCTAACGCTTTTCCGGCTGCTTCCCGGTCTTCCCTTACGTTGTCACGTTCCTCAGCTCTCTCGGCTCTCACGCGCGCTTTCTCTTCATCCGCCCGAACTCTTTCTTCAGCTACCCGTTTCTCTAGCTCGTCCCCAGTATACCCCAATTCCTTACCGAACGCGATTATTCGTTCTAGCTCCATATTAACACAACGGACCGAGCTTCCCCTCAATTCTCTCACTTCCCGAAAAAACGCAACTAGGATGTAATGGGCCTAGACATATCCCGGCAGGCTCGCCAATTTGTCAGGTTCGTTCGGGCAGGTGAGAAAGAATTATGGGAACCACAGCCAGCGGGAGAACTCAAACGTACTTTACTGTAAGAAAAAAAAAGAAAACGAAAAAAATTGAAATATGATCAGCGTCGGATAAATGAAATAAATGTGGCATTTAAAACTAAAGATATATACTGTCAACACAAATAGTCATCACCCTGTACAGTAACCATGGGATGTGGCGGGTGGATCGTCGTTGGGCGGATCGTCGGACAATGATGCCCGGCCCGCTGGTGCCCTTCGGACCAAGATGACGATGCCGAGCGCGGTGATCCAAGCTTGGCGGAGTCGATTGCGAGGACGGGACGATCGGTGCAATCCTGGCGGAGTCGATTCCGAGGACGGGACATAGCCGACCTGAGCTCCGCAACCCCAGAAGACAGCCGTCAAATCTCGCGCCTCGCCGGATTGCTTCGAACCCTTCTCGCGCCTCTTTATTCTGCTTTTTTCGTGCTGCCGAAAATTTCTCCTTTATTCCTTTTCTTTTTCCTTGTCTTATAAATCACGACACTGGATTTTCTAAGGTTTTTCAGGTTGTTCGTCAAACCTTGCGGGTTTTTTTTTTTTTTTTTTTTTTTACTTGTTTTAGAAATGAATATCGCTACAGCACGAAATCCCCAGTGGTCGGTCTGTGAAGGGCTGAAGGCCAATCTGTGTACTTTTTGCAATATTGCGTGCCATTTATAACGAATACGGGTCAAGTTGAAGCAAGATTTTCAAGTTATCAACGCGTTGGGCAATCTATCAGAAGTTCTTCTTACACAAGCTGTCGTTATGTTGCGTTTGTTCAGATTTACCTAATTGATTTAAGAGCTTTGAGTTACTTCTCACACACACTGTTTCTGGGGCAAACAGTATCTCTCACAGCCTTATTTCAACGTCTGGCATTTCTCAATGATCGGTTCTGGGTCCTCCTCTATTTTGTATATTCATAAATGAAATCCCGTCGTTTGTTTAATGGTCTGAACTGTTCCTTTAGCTCAGTGGCATTAAGCAGTTTAAAATAATTCATTCCCAGAAGTCTCCACAGACTGCAATGTATAACAATGCAATGTGTCACGTGCGCTTTCGTAGAGCAAACAAATTCGAGTTGCTGCTGAACCCTACAAAAACCAAAGTGATTTCGTTCTGCGAATGTCATACATTTGTTGACTACACATATGATTATGATGGAGTGCCGGTGCAGAGGGCGTCTCTTTTGTGAAAGATCTGGGCGTGGGTTTAGGTACTACCTTAACATTTAAAAATCAGATATCCGCTCTTTACGACATGGTTTCGCTACTTGTGGAGCAACTCTCTCTTTACAAACTAATTTAACTTGTTTAACATTTTTGTATTAGCTTATATTGAGTGTGATTATGTATATTTTGTCTTTTATAGTGTTTTAGTGGACGTGCACCAATAAGACAACTGAGGTTGTTATTGGACACTTTATATAAAGATTATTATTACTTATAAGTTTGTTATTATAATTAAAGAAACCCCAAAACCAGATTTTCTTTTTTAGGGGCATCTTTTTCTTAGTTTTTGGTGGAAGGGTTTCATTTCTTTTGCTGATTTGGCGGTTTGTGGCGCCTATTTCGGATGTCGGGGAACAAATAGACGTTTATCGCGGTCTCGGCTAAAGAAGACAAAACATGTGGCTGGGATTTCTCAACCTTGCAGGAATATACGAGTGACACGGATACAGTGATATTTTGTTAATATGAACACCACCGCTCCACCTCCCTCCCCCCCCCAAAAAAAAAACAACAAACAAACAAACGCCGGTAATGTAAGCTGCCATCAATAAAAAGACAAAAACTCACGTATCTGGGCAGGTTTCCACTCAATGTTGCCTATATAGTGGGTTATTCATATGAACGAGTGGCATATAAGCGAGATATATCTGTACTTCGGAAACTCTTGATCCCAATAGGAAAGGGAAACTAATTAGACGATGGAATTCTCAAAAAAAAAAAGCCCAACAGCCTCTCAGGCAGGTTTGTGCGGGCTCTGTTAAAGTTAGAGTAAATATGAAGGTTTGGGTAAAAAAATATTGATCGTAAATTTTACCGTTTCTTTGTTTTCCCTCTTGAATTTATTTTTCACCTAAAAAGTGCCTTAAATTTGATTAATAATCATCTGTGTTTGAGACTTTACTTGTTCATGTTGTTCTTTACTTACCCGCAATCTCGTGGTTGTGTTATGTCCCGATATTAAACAGTTTATTACACACAGCCATCGTTTTTCCTCCTTTCTTTCGCCAATGCAGAAAAGCGAAATGGAAGAACGACGGATGCAGGGTCAAAAGCGCGACCACGGATGAAGTGGTGTGCAGCTGCGACCACCTGACCAACTTCGCGGTCCTCATGAGCCCCAAGGCTGCGCTGGAAGACGACACGGGACTCCACTGGATCACCGTCCTCAGCTGCCTCGTCTCCATCACCTGCCTTGCTCTTTGCATCGCTGTATTCAGCTTCTACAGGTGGGTTCACACTTTCGACTCAGCGACAGACAGGTGGCGTGGGGTTCAAGCCGAAGCTGGTCACCGACACGGGGAATGAGAACTAAACTTAAAGGAGCCATTACACAATTTTTATACGTTCGCTAAATATTGCTTAGAAACAATTCCTTGCATTATCAACTCAATACACTTGCCTCAGTGTTTTCGCTTAGGCAATGACAGTTACCAAATAAATTCGAAAAATACGAGCATCGTTGATCCCCTCTACTCTGAGCCAGAACAAGAGGCCACGTGGCCCGGTGCCTATCCTATGCCGCCAACGTTAATCATAGCCACGAGCAGGGGTCGGCGAAGTAGAGAACGCGTGATGAATCCCAGGCATTGTTAGAGTTCGACTGTTCTCATCACCGCAGTGGTTGGACACGAGTTACTACCCGAGTGTCCGCCGAGGCATTGATTGTTCCGAGCCGAAGACGAGTGCTCACACAGTTCTCGTGTTGAATCCATGAGCAGCTCTCTACTGTCGTCAGGCCGGTGGTTTCTATCCCATAATTCCATCATCAAACTTTGAGAAGGCAAGGCTGAAGGAAATAGTCACCTTTATCCTCGCAATTTCAACGCGGCAAAGAAGCTTCTGAATCAATGGCGGTCTGTGCGAGTATGCTTAGCCCAGACTAGGAACAGTTCTCCTCCGCTAAGTCACAAATATTCCAACCCGATATCGCTTCAGGACCGCTTTAAGTAGAAATAACAGGGAACATAAAGGCGAGCGGTTACTCTTGCGGGTACACTTTCAATATATGGAACACCCGAGAGCTATGAAGAAAGAAGTTGTGCTTGTGCTTGTTGCCCACTTTTAACGTTGTTGTTGCCCACTTTTAATGTGAAACGTCTACAGGCTAGATTTTCAGATGAAGTGAAGCCACGAAAAAAAAAAAAACCACGAAATTCCCCGCTAAACTTAGCGGGGAAAATGACGTCACATGTCTTCATGCCACGTAAACTATTCACAAATTCACCTGCCCCCTAGCGGAACAATTGACGTCACGTGACCTCAACACCAATTCATTTTCCACGCTAAATTTAGCAGGGAATATGACACCGCATGACTCCGTGTTACGTGCCCTATACATAGGGTTGTTCGTTTTCGGGTAAAACCCGATTTTACCCGATTTTTACACCCCGAACATGTTTTAAGAGAATCGGGTTAAACCCGATTTCTCCCCGAATCTCAAAACCACATAACCAACCTATTTATTTTTACGCCATACGGAGTTCGCAGTGCACACACGCTAGCTAGCCTACCTCGGGACAATAGTGGCCTATAGTTCATTTCGCAAGCTGCGTGCAGCACCGTGGACGCTACACGGCTCTCAACCGACCGCCCAACGAGCGCACCTAGCTCACCGTAACATTCTACGGAGGCCGGCTGGCCTCGGAGAAACATTTCCGTCCGTCCCCCCCCCCCCCCCCCCCCCCCCCCCCCCCCCCCCCGCCTCACTGTGCATGCGGAACCGCCTTGGCACGCCACGTAGCTTCGGCCCTGCTGCACGCAGCTTGTGAAATGCACTATCAATCCCCTTTCGACCGCTGTTAGGTCTCGACGCCCAGCCTGGTCTCTCCGGTAGCATGGCCATCTCACTGGCGGTCTACCTTTCTCATGAACAACGTCCGAGCCAGTCAGTCGGGGTAAGCAGATCGGGAAAACTTACCAGGTTTATTCCGTAGCGAAATATCTGATAGAAAATGACCGTCCCTCAAACGGTCCGGGTTTTTGTTGACACTTGAGGGAGAGGAGAATTCCTTCCCTTAAAGCGACCGACGGCAATTGGACCGGCAAAGCTCACCCCCAAGGGGAGCTTAACGTTTGGGAATGGCAAAAGAACGATTGTCCTCCACACTCGAATATTATAATGGGGCAGAAACCTCGTAATACCCTCCAATAAAAAAAAGAAAAAAAAAAGAAAAAAGAAAAACGAGTGCATTACCCAGTATATTTGCACGTTTAACCCGAAAATACCCGAATTTCAAAATGTTTCCACAAAGAACCTGATTTCTCCCCGATTATTAGCTTGAAAAATAGCAACCGATTTTTACCCCCCGAATTTAAAAATATATAAAACCCGAAAACGAACAATTCTAATTATACACAAATTCAACTTGCCCTCTAAATTGAGCGGAAATATATACATCAGGTGACCTTATCCCTAATTCCGTTTTCCCGCTAAAATTAGCGGGTACAATGACGTCATCTTACTTGATGTCATGTGACCTATATACACATATCCAATTTCCACAGGTTCGCTTTCCGTTCTAGATTTAGCGGGAAAATGGACGTCACTTGACCTCAACACCAATTCATTTTCCCCGCTAAATATAGCGGGAAAGATTATGACTCGGTGTCACGTGAGCGATACTCAAATTAAGTTTCCCCGCTAGATTTAGCGGGAAGATAGACGTCACGTGGTCTACACATAAATTTAGTTTACCCGCTATCCTTCATTTCCTATACTTTGTGACAGAGACAGACCTGATAGGGAATGGGTCAATGAGCCAATGAGTCAATCGGTTGTGGAGGAGTGGGTGGAGTCAATGGAATGGAGAGGTGTGGAGAGTCCTGAGGGGCATAGCTCAAGAAGAAATGACTGCAAGTTACTAGCGCTAAACCAAGTACGTTTATCGTCGCAACACAATTGAAGGGCAGTTTACGATACATTGTTTCTTCAAAAGTGTCGGGTGTTCAATACATTAGACTTGCGTGGCGATGAAGGACATAAAAAATTTAAAGGAGCTGTGCGACGATTTTAACTTTGAAAGAATTGGCATCTTCCACTTTTGACATTGTTTATCTTGTCATAAAGGACAGAAAGCACGTCTCCTTCCTTCGAAATGTTGCGATTCCACCGCGTAATCGCGACGCAAAACTTGGAATAATCCTCAACCTGCAGCCGCTAGCGGCGGCCATAAGAACCACGTGGTATGACGTCAATGGGGGTCTTCTAGAACGATAGCAAGTTATGCGAATATCTGCTCGATAAAAGGTAGCTTTTCTATGAGTCCTGTCGTTCCAACATAAATACAAATGAGACGAAAACCTGGCATCATCGACAAAACTTTTATTATACGGAGTTCTAGTAGCGCCATAAATCCTATAGGATTGATGGCGCCACTGATAGAGCTGACGGTTTTGTGGACCTATAGGTCCACAAAACCGTCAGCTCTATCTGCTACCGCGAACAGCCGCCAGAAGCCGGAAGGGGAGGGGGACAGAGCTGGACGGGTATGGCCGGGCCCGGATGAGACTTTCTTCCTTCCACCATATTGTTCGTGCTGCGCCCGCCAGCACGTGGTCACGCGGTCGCGAGCGGATGAGTTCTCGCTGCTCACTGATGGCTCTAGAGAGAGAGCTTCGCAGGAACCCCGCGCGACCCCCTGTGGCGTCACAGCGCACGTTACTCGGAAGATGTTGAAGGCGTTAAGAGGTGCCAAAAACCTCAATCTTTGTCCATTTTTAAAATAAAAACTAGGACATGCAGGCAAAAGCGGTTTTGTGTTCTTTACTTCCGCAAAGTCGAGACACCAACTCCCAAGTTATTTAGGAAAAGCACTGAAACTGTTGCACAGCTCCTTTAATGCGATTAGCTTTCTTAGGGTCTTCCAGACACTTTGAGGTATGTCTCTGGCCGTTTAATATTCCCGCTAAATTTAGCGAGGAAAATGACGCTACATAATTAAATGACGCGCGACATATACACAAATTTAGTTTCACCGCTATATTTAGCGGGGAAATTGACGTCACATGACCTCAACACCAATTTCGTTTCTTCGCTAAATTTAGCGGAAAAATTATGTCACATGAATTCATGTCACGGGACCTTCACACAAATTCAGTGTCCCCTCGAAATTTAGCGCAAAAGTTGAGATCACGTGAAACGATATATCACGAGGCCGCCTAACTATAACGAAAATCACAAATTAATTTTCTCCGCTAGATTTGGGAAACTTTCCGTCACGTGACCTCAACACCAATTCAGTCGCCTAAATAAATTTAGTGCAACAAATAATGCCAGATGGCTTGATGTTATGTGACGTACATGCAAATTCGGTTTACCAGCAACATTTAGCGGGAAATTTGACACGTGACCGGCCGCGGCTCTTTTAATTATGTCTCCTTCTACTCGTTTAATTAAACAACATAGTTGGTTTCACCCAAAATTATTTTAACTCTAAGAAAGATGGTAAAGTTGGGCGAGTTGGTGATCGCTAAACATAATTCAAGACAGTTTTACAACAAACAGAACAGAGAGAGGGAACGTATCATGTTTGTCTTGGTTGTACTTCTATTCGTTCTGCTTGCGATGTTTACTTATTTTTATTATACAATAGGTTCTTTTGTTTTCATACAGATCTCCATTTTAACTAACCCCTAGGTTCTCCTGAGATGACATTCAATTTTGTTCGTAGGATACAAGTAATGTTGAAAGAATTTCATAAATTATCTCCCAGTTGTGTGTGTGTAGACAATAAACGGATAATTACAGTTTCTGTGAAATATACATAATGTGGCGGCAACATATTTTCTTTATAAATGTTCCTTCGGTGTATTATTTGAATAACGTTTTCATCTTTGAAAGCTTGTATGACTAAAATATTAAACGAATGTGCGTCGTAATATTTTGCGGCAATTTTAATTGTATTTGAGAGAAATCTTTTAATTATCAGTTACTTGCCAAAAAGATTAGGCTATTTTCTTACATTATTTATGATTACGTGACCTTTGTATGAAATTCGCACGAACGTCGTCGTCTTAATAATTGACTCAACATGTTCGTTGTTTTATTTATCTTTCACTCAAACATATAAAAACAAAAAATACCATAGTCAAACTGATCAGCACTGGGTGCTGCACCTTGAATTTTCTTGCAGCGCTATTGCCAGTGGTTTTCTACCTAACATAAATATAACTTCTAAAACAAAAATAAACTGTAAAAATTTAAAAAAAAACATTTACGTGTTTATGCCGTTTGTAAGACATAGGATTAACAATGGTCATAACACCAATTGGTTAAATATAGCAGAAAAGTATTTTGCTACAATGTTTTGTCTAAGTTTAACATCTAAAGTTGAAAAAAGAAATGAGTTAGAAAACTGGAAGCCTTAAATATGATTATTTATTATGAAATATTTTAAATTTAGACGTTTAAGAGCCGGTTTGCTTCTTTGTTCACAATTGCTAGTATATATTTACGTGCTCTGATCGTCATACTCATGCATTTGTCCGTTATTTTGTTGTTTGATATTTAATTGTCTGTTAAAAAGCATCAACTGAGAAATGTCCGCCTCCTAAATATTTTATGGTGGCATTTTCAAATTGTTAATGTTTTTCAAAAAATATTGAGCCGCTAGGGAGCCAAATACGATGTTTTTTTTTTTCATTAGCTTATGTGACTCGTCTACTGATATTAAGTTTTCTGACCCCTTGTCTGACAAATGCAGGCACCTCAAAGGCATACGAAACACCATTCACCGGAACCTCTGCGTTTCGCTTCTGATTGGCGAGATTATCCTCCTGTTGGGCTTGGATAAGGACAGTCCCGTAAGTGTGTTGAGGGAAAGGGGTTCTCCACGTATATTTTTTCTCTCAATTACCTGGTGTTAAAAAATGCTGTGTTTTGTATAAAAACAAACTTTAGTGAAGAGGCCCTAAACCAGTCCCCAGAAGAAAATGTTCGCCAATTTTCTGGGGGCACGGCAGCCGGTCATCACAAAGTGGCGAAGCTGCCTTTAACGCCTAACTAGTCGACATGATAGCGTGTTCTAGAACCGTGAACTTAACGTGTTTGAAAAATAAAAGTAGGAAGCGTCGGACCTGATTGCTCCACTTTCAAACGGGGCGTGGCGGTACAACACAGATGCTTCCAAGTATTTTGTTCTTTTTCTTTTCATTTGTGCCCCTATTAAAATATTGAAGTTTCATGTCAGAAGCCTCATACTTTCAAATCAACTTGAGCGGCTGTAGAATCTTGAGGGCAGATGTTGGCGAATGTGGTCCAACATACCCTTTAAGTTACTGCTAGTGCCCTCCATTTGTGTTTCAAGAGGGTCGATAAGGTGACAGTTTCGTTCGGGAACGTGAGAGGGAATTATGAGAACCAGAGCCAGCGTGCGAATTCAAAACATACTTTACTGTAAGAAGAAGAAAAAAAATGACCGCATCTTCACGTGATGAATGATGTTGATTGGGGCGAAGCTCTGGTGTTGCTTCTATGCGTAGACGCTGAGCCGCAGCATGCCGAGTTTTTCGTTCGTTTTCATCCTGTCAGAAAGAAAATGTGAGGTATGAAACGTGGTTATATACGCATTTGAGCATTTGACTGCAGCGCCCTCTCGTCTATAAACGTTGAGCCAATGCATGCAAAGTTTAACGCGATTATACACGCATTTGACCGCAGCGCCCTCTCCTGTATAGACGTTGAGCAGCTACATGCAACGTTTCATCCATGACATCCCCAGCACTTGAGTTACTACCACATCTCAGAGCCCCCTACTCGTCCCGCGCAGTCGTGGCCGAGTGGTTAAGGCGATGGACTAGAAATCCATTGGGGTCTTTCCGCACAGGTTCGAATCCTGTCGACCGCGCAAACATTTTTTTTGTCATTTTTTTGCCCTGCACGAGCACGTGAGCACGTAAGCTGACGAGCACGATCACGAGCACGAGCATCAGCAAGATTGATGTGAGCACGGACGCCGGACGGACAAGGCTAGACCCTAAGGAGCTTCGCCCCTAAGAAAAAGAACAATGTTATCAAAAGCGTCGGATAGGTTAAAGAAATCTTGCATTCAAAAGTAAAGATATACACGGTCAAGAAAAATAGTCCTCTCTCTGCATGATCCCCATGGGATGTGGCGGGTGGATCGTCGTTGAGCGAATCGTTCGAGAATGATGCCCGGCCGCTGGTGCCCTTCGCACCAAGATGTCGATGCCTTGCACAGTGATCCAAGCCTGGCGAAGTGGGTTTCGAGGACGGGACACAGCCGACCCGAGCTCCGCGACCCCAGAAAACTGCTCCCAACTCTCGCGGCTCGTCGGCTTGCTTGGCCTCTCGCGCCTCTTCCTTCTTCCTCTTTCGCACCGTCGAAAATGTCCTGTTTATTCCCCTTTTATTTTCTTTTTTTTTTCTTGTCTCGTAAATCATGACATAAGGATTGAGCCAACATTAGCCAGTCACCCTTGAGGTAAACATTCAACAACTTAAGTTTTAACATTTTATTTATATCGGAACTTGCGCGCCCCCAGCTGTCTACAAAATGTGCCCGCAGCATCAATCGAAGCGAAACCCAACAAATGTGACACAAGTCCCGAGACTGCAGGCAAAAAAAAAAAAAGACATGAACACTAAAATATCTCGAGACCTGTTAGTGTTTGTGTCATTTTTTGCCTGCAGCCTCGGGGTCTATGTCATGTTCAATCTAAACCAGGTCCTTTGCGCCCTAACATTCACTTCACCCAACAAATGCTCTTACATCCTTGTTGGCATTGTATCTGACTCTGCAGTTCGTGAAGAGCCCCGGAGTATGCACGACCGTTGCCCTCCTCCTGCATTTCTTCTTTCTGTCCGCCTTTGCGTGGATGGCACTGGAAGGATGCAACATCATCGTACTCCTCTGGAAGGTGTTCAACCAAAAGAGAACTTACTACGAGAGGTACTACATCGCGGGATACGGTATGACCATCGTCTCAAACATTACTTGTCTCTTACCAAAGCTGCAAACCACGGGCCCCCGCAACGGTCATTCGAGAGTCCATTTCATACTATGAAACTAACGTTCACCGGTGTATGTAACAACTTACATACAAGAACGACAAAACGCATTCCAGCGAGGCTTTGTTTGCAAACGAGACAAACAGGGAATTCTACGCTGCGAAATCACAAAAATGTGAAGCGCGTGCATTTTGTGTTAGAAACCAATGAGTTTAGTTGATGCACAACGTTCTTGTTTTGAGCTTGATATCACCACTCTCCTTGACAGCTTATAGAAAATCGTTTTTGTTTACTCTGTATAGGTCTAATAAACTCTAATAAATGAAAATTTGCCTAAGCAGATACTTCACAACTAAAATAATGCATATGAAAATAACATAGAAGGCGCCCACTTTCATGTTGTCACAAAACAAAATAGGACATGAATAGGAAACTGAAAATTAAATTTTCAACAGGCGAGGTTGTAACTACAATTAACAGAGAAAGGTGCCAGCATCTTACGTTCGCAGCGGGAGGGCTACTGTCCCCAAGCAGCGCGTTAAGGGAGTACTCCGGTTGTTTCTTGAGCTACCCAAACAAATTGCATTTTCTGAATACCCGCATTTTAAATATTTTTAAAACGCAAGACGGAGGCTACAAAAAGAGGACAAACACAAGACGTCTCAATTCAGACATCTTGTGTTTGTCCCCTCTTTGTATCCTCCGTCTTGGGTTTTAGAAATGTTTAACTTTAACCAGCTCGCCTGCCTTATTACTTCATCTTCAACACGGACTTTAGTCCTTCCGATATTCTGTTTATTGTTTCGAAATTCAAAGTAGCTATCAAGAAAACCGTAAATAAAGATGATGCCAAACCTAGCATTCAAATTTTCGCGCGCTCCCTACTGGCGTGATGTCACGGTGGTACAGACTTTAAAGTCAAGCGGTTTTTTCGTGCTTCTTAGTAAATGAGCTTCCATGCATGTCGTCAAGCCTCACGAGCACCGAGCTCACCGAAAAGCTAACTGATCTTTGGTAGGTTGTGTCCAAATAGATATCAGACTGCCGGACTTCAACTTTCACGACTTTTGACGGAGTTGTGTCGCCTGACGATTTCTGAAGCTTCCGGTTTGGACAGCCCTTTACCGCTGCTCTTATACACGCGTACCGTTCAGGAGTGTTCCAAACCAAAACACTTGTGGAAAGCCGGGAATGGGCTGGAACTTTCCTGAAACGCACAGAAATTATACAAAAAGAACCGTACCAAACCTGGTTCGCACGGGTCTCGAACACCTTTCCTCGGCGTGGCGGCCACGTGCGTTGACAACTTTGCCGCGCGAACAGCAATATTTCTAAAACTAAATTTCCAGATCAATGAGCTCCGGAACCTTTTGCACTTCCTATATAAATTAAAATCGTGTCTCTTCAATTATTGATTATAAAAAAACGTTGTTTATAATCCATCGTATCATCAAGCAGTGCGTACGCTATACTCCGTGTCACTACTTGCGTGCAGCGCAGGCGAAGGCAACGCCAAGTGAAGAGAGAAAGGGTGAGCACTAGGAAGGCGGGACGGTAGAGGAGGGCAATGGTGAGCCAGGGAAGGACGGGAGAACGATATGAACGTTAGAGAGGACAGGAGGTTTCTCTCCTCCTCCCCAGCCTTCCTAGTGCTTGCCCTTTCTCCCCTCGCCTGGCGTTGCCTTCGCCTGTACTGCACGCAATTAGTGACACAAAGTATAACGCTTCTCCTTTTTTCTAGAGCGCAGCTCTTAGGCGCCCGTTTCCGGCTTGAGCGACGTCGCCGTCGCCGTCGGCGTAACCGCGGTGACGTTTCGGCACGGTGACGTTTCGGCACCATGCCGAAACGTCGCCCTCGTGACGTCACCGGTGACCCTGGTGACGTCATGAGTGACGTCACGTGACCCCCATGAGGTCACGTGACCCCCATGACGACACGTAGCCCCCGTGAGGTCACGTGACCCCTGTGAAGTCACGTGACCCCCGTGAGGACAAAGGGTCACGTGAGTTCACGGTTCCGCCGACGCCGCTCGGAAGGAGGAGTAGCAGGCAGGATGAGGAGGTGAGGAGGAGGGAGGAGGGGTATACGCTCCCCTCAGTACCCTTCCCTCCTCCTCCTCAAGAGCTGCGCTCTAATTCGGTGTTACAGGGATCTGTAAACAGCTTTCATTCTTTTCGCTAACTTATTTCTTACGCGGGATCCAATGTTGACGTTTCCCACATTATTTCAGCTCCACCCGCGCAGAACCCCGCTTCTATGTTCTTAGTACAAGTGGGTCGAGCTTCTACTTGAGAGCCCAGAATGTGCCGAGCGACGCTGAGCGAAACTAAGTCAACCTCTCCTCTTATATGGCTATGTCAAAGCAGCCATGTTAACAAGAGCGCGTTGAAGCTTGCTGACATTGCAGTGGGCTCTAAATGAGCCCTAAAGGCTTGTCAGTATCGGATATAAGTTGCAACTTTGATTCATTCCCGAACAATCTATTCTACACCTTAAGGACACCCACGCAATTGAAGCACATTGACGACCCCTCGTCAAATAGACGGTCAGATAAACTGTTTGATCGGATTGCATCATGCAATTTAATCATAAGAGCAATGACATGACTTCATGCACTTTACATGCAATGATAAAAGTTTTATGATATTATGGCCCTTGGCAGATATATGCAACATTTTGTAGTACCACCAAATCGTTCGAGGAATCCATATTTTGGAAAGGCACTTAGCACAAATCAGGCTGCTCTGATTGGACATTCTATGGATTAAATTTTCGCCTTTATTATTAGGTTTGGTGACACTTGGATTCGAGTATTGGTTGTTCGGATTCGCACCATACTAGCTCGAAGTGGCGATTCACACCTGTCAACAATGTTAGGTCAATGAAATTTTAAAATGGGTTTATCACACGATGCATGCTTTTATCACATGTTCTGGCAGAGCACGCCAATTGCAAACTGCTCTTAAATGAACCGACCAATTTTATTAGATTTTGTTTGACTTAACTAGGGAGTCAAATAACTTTTAGTTAACGTTTAGTTCTTTATTAGGCGACTCTTAGAAAATATAGAGCCTTACCCCAAAACTAGATTCTGGGAACTCTTCGCAGTTATATTTCATTCTTCTCTTTTTTTACATAACATGAAGCTTGCGTTAATTATTCGAAGGTTACATTTCTTAAGACTTTTCCACGCTCAAGGCATTACAAGCTGGCAACTGATATGCCAATTGACCGCTCAACTTGCTTAATAAAAAAAAAACCAAGAATAAAATTTGCATTTTAGAATAAGAAAAGTACATATCAGAAGTAGCATACACCATATATCGTCGCACTACTAATCGAGTGCGAAAAAATATACACAGTAGATTGACACTGCACTCAAAACGGTAAATTATTTTGTCTTCTAGCCTCCTTCTAGTTTGAGACGATTTAATTACTTTTGCATCATTACTTTTAGTCAAGTATTTAATCCAGATATATTTTGTCTCTCTTTTTTAAGGGATTCCACTGATTATATCGTGCGTAACCTTTGGAATTCGCCAAAAGTACTACGGAAAAGCAAATGTGTAAGTACGCATTTAACGTCTGTACTTTTTACCTTCAGCTACTTACTTCGTCAAATTATTCGCTGATCCTAGTATAAACCTTTAACACTAAAATAAGCGCACCACACTTACTTCTGATTAATGTGCGGTCTAAAACCTCAAAACCCTATGCCACAACCACAAGTATACATCTGTATATGAACTATTTCATGACACAAAATTAAACCTAAACAAAGCGCAAACGCAGGTAAAGCTGGAAAAAAGAAATTTAGAACTGCGCCCTGGAAACATCAAAGTGTAATTCGACATTTTGCTTCGAGACTTGACTTTTTCGGACAACGTCTCTTAGCTAAACGTTGGATTCTACTCGTAAGATTTCCATTAATTTTTTTTTCAGATACAATCCTTTATATTATACGTTTAAAATGTCGCTTGTATTAAGCCTACTTTTTTCAAAATGTGTATCATAACTGTTTTCTTTTTAAATATGCTAGCTGCTGGCTTCCCGTGGAGTATGGCTCTCGGTTCAGCTTCATTGGACCGGTTGCTGCTGTTATATGTGTGAGTGGTCCAGTCCAGATGAAAAATTGCAAGTGTCGTTTCCTTTCTGCCGTTTCCTATAATAAAATGCATTTTGCGCTCAAGTTTACAAGACATTCCCAACAACAACTTGTATTTTATGAAGCTATCACAAATAAGCGTGATCAGTTATAAAACTAATAAAGTCCATGTTGTTTCTATCGATACATACAGTTAAACATGGGAGCGCTTGGCCTTGTACTCTGGAAGATGTCTCACGTGAGGGCTGTCGTAGAAAAAAGCACCATCGAGAAAGTACGGTGAGTTTTTTTTTATGTGCTCATTGGTTATTGTTTTATTATGTAGGAAGGGGAGGTCAGAATAAAAGTAGTTACGTAAAGATTGCGGCTAAATGAGCATGCCAAGGCTGTCGCAAAAAACATGAAGACTCATCCTTATAGTCTCCTTTCGTGGCATAGTTGAAATGCTCATACCAGAGACAGTCCTCAAACAGTGTGTTCGAAATGGCCACTTCAATGTTATAGTAACCTGTTACTAGCACAGTTTATGACGTCCTAATAAAGTCCTAGGATGGGGGCAGAGGTTGTGTTGAACTTGCCATGGAGTACGTGCCGCCTTAGACTTACCTTCATGATTGTCGTGACGCGTGCAGTGACCAACGAGGGTATGTATATGGCAGGAGACTATGTCACCCTCCGAATAAAACAGAACGCAAATACTCTCGATATAAGGGAGTCATTTCTGAAATAAATTACTAATAGTAGTGTTTTGTTTCTTGCTATCGGGGCTTCTGTAGCATATCATCTTCAATCTGGTAACGAGAAGAAACTGTTACCTCGATGTAAATTTACAACTCAAAAATATATATTGACAACGTTCTACTGCCACTGTTAATATCTGGAAGACAGAAAGACGTCATATCTCAAAATGGCCAGTGTTCGAGGGAAACCGATGCGGCCACAATTTGGTCTTTAGAAACTACGAGTGCTATACAAACGTATAACACCCTAGAGAGACCCACTATAATGTAATGCAGTTCAACATCTTTTGAAGCAATTTCTAACAAATGGCAGTGATCTGCAATAGCAAAAAAGGGGATGACTCCGTGCTTTGCTGGAATACGTTGATCAAACCTAGGAAACATTTTTTTTTCCGAAGCACGCAAAGATTAATTAGGCAACCTTTTTTGAGCCAGAGATTGACAGACATTTTAACTACACGATTATCTTGCATAAGCAAGTTTTCTTTTTACCGGTGTTAAAATCAAAGGCCACAGAGCCCCGCGTACTCTGGAATCATCTCGTATTTCTCACGGTATTAAGTGTTTGCTTTCGTAATGGCCCAGTTCTTGTACACCCTGCTTGGAGGGCCCAACATTGGATTAGAGTGGCTCTCTAAAGTCCCACCCTCTCATTAAAAATGAAATATTGTTACTTTCTTTTAATGATTTTGCTCGCGTAGTCGTTCATATCTTGAATAGATTCAAAAGATTTAATTATTCTGTGAACACTTTTTTGGCTTAGAATAGTATCTTATCCTATGTTAGGTGGCTTGTCTGCAAAATCGTGAATGATAGGTGAATAAAATTGACTAATATAAAAAGCAAAAAATAAAAATACAATATTTAGAAAAAACGTTGAAATATATGCCGCTGCTTAGCTTCAATTCTATATTCTATTTATTTTTTGCATTGATCATTATGAAATTGTTAGATTAACCGTCCTTGCACTACAGAATTGTTTTCTACGTTTCAGAGTGAATTGTGTCTAAAAAAGTAGTTCTCATTACTGGTCCAGTGAACGTTGAAAAAATAATGTAAACGCAAGTGAACGGTGTTCAGCCCAGAAACGTTGTTTATCGGGGCTGCTGGATTTCTAAGCTCCCTTCTGCATCCAGTTATTTTTTAGGTGTGTACAAATAAAATATATATGAAACTTGCAAAGGGTAGACCTCACCGAATATATGGGTCACTATTCAAAGGGTGTACCATTAGCTTTTAGTTTGGAAGGATAGTGCAAGTATTTTCAAGCAAACTAGTCACGCAACCGCGAACACATGTAGATGGTTTGCCGGAAATATGTGAAGTAAAACTGCAGTGTACGGCGTGCAGGTTGATCTGCTCTTTGCGCACCTCGTGCGTTTGTTTATCCCCAAAGGAGCCCAGGTGCTTTTGTTTCCCCCAGATATCAGCCGATGACGATGCGCGCTTGACTGCTTCGTCATCGTGGGTTTCATGCGCGTTCTCTGTGTTGCCCTCTGATTGGCATAGCCATCATCATCTTAATCATCATCATTATCATAAAGCTTTTATTTGAGTCAGTAAACAACCAACCATGGTCTGCAATGTGGCACCCATGCTCCTCCTTGCGTTCAGATACGCGAAAGACATACCTTGGAACACTTTCTCCCGGTATGTTTCATGCAAAACTGGTATTATTGAACATAAGAATATCATATTCGAGATTGAACAATATCTATATACTACCCTTTTCACTACCTTAGCATTGTTGTCTTCTGAATTCAGAAAACTATATCGAATACCAGATCCCGAACGTTTGAAAGTTCCCATACCTACACCCAAGGTATACTGCGGCATTCAGTGTGGTCCATCTTGAAAAGATAACCCTTCTAGACCGCCAACGTTTTCCTAAACAAACTGTGCTTCTCACCCATGAAGTAGATTGGCTTCAGTCATGTTGTTCCTCCTGTACCGATTTTACCACTTTCGATTTATTTCCGAAGTCAATGGTGTTTGTTATATGACGATGCAAGCACTGGGAAAGTCACTTGGCCACGTCTTCAGTTGTGCGGGGGACTTAAAATGATAATAGCATACTCAATCTAACCAACAGTCATATTTTGTTCAGAAACTGGGTCCGTGGAACCGTGATCCTCCTGCCGATTCTCGGATTAACTTGGCTTCTCGGCTTCCTCATGCTTGGAAGTGACAATCTGTATCGAGTAGGAGCATATTTATTCACCGTCTTCAATTCATTACAAGTAAGTACTTCTGTGACTAATAGAACCGATACTTGTAAATACTCTCAATGATGCTGTTTTTAATTAAATTATAAATTTGAAAGGACAGAGAATGTAACGCTGATCTATTCTCACCGTTTAGCTACTTGTATGCGTGTGCAGTGTAGGGCTTTCTGATGTCGTGTTAGGGTATTTTGTAATCAAACCGGAATGTTCAGTGCTGTAAACAGTTTTCGTTTAAGTGACCGTTAAAGACGAACACACCTAGAACCATAATACGAAGAACGTCCGACGTAGTACAGAAATATGGAATTCCTAAATAACTAAACCTGGCAGTTTCCTTACGTAAGCCTAGGTTTTCGAATATATTTCTTTGCTCGTCAGGTGCCCACATTGGTTATTTTGGTAGTTTTCTAACTAAAAGGCAAAAGTTCTACGCTACTTTTATGTGGTGCTATAATAGTAAAATAATGTGAATAGGTAAAAAGTAGACGTCGCCCCTTTTCTTCCGTCTTATTATAAATCTAAGTTATTCAGAGGCCAGTGATCATTGTCATATGCGTGGGATGCTTATAAATGACATGCCGTTTTTAATACAATAACTTCGCAGATTTCTTTGTGTTTGTGCCAGTGAAACCTGTTTGTTAAAACGTGAATTCACCAGATTCCTCGTTCATATTGTACATTCAAGAACTATGACAAGAGAAAAATGCGTTGGACTTATATGACTATTAACTCACAACAATTTGAAAGCTAATCTTAAAAGGGAGAGAGGACAGACATGTACAGCATGTTCATGTCCGTCCTAGCCTTTCATTTTGTGTTCAGCTTCCATAATATTGTTAACTAAGTTAACACGCTTACCTCAAACTCAATATATATTGGCTGTTGGTATTCATCTTGCAAAGTTTTCAATTTGCTTGAACTAAATCTTGGATCATAGAGCACTAGACATAGTATACGTATACATGTGAATCTATCTATACCCGGAGTGATTTGCTGCTCAAAGTGCGCCCAATATGAATTGTGCTTGCAGCGTTATGAACTCCTTCCGTGCACTGTTGGCAGAGCATGGGGATCATAAATAACAAACCGTCAGCTACTGCATGCGATGGCAACCTCTTTTTGATGCATCACAATTGAACTGCCAGCCAATAGATCAAGTAGAAAAATTTCGTTAGGCGTAAATATTAATACGAGACTCGCCCGAGCTTGTCTCTGGAAATAGTTAGCACTTATAAATAACTTTTAATCATAATGTGTAGGAACCAAGCTATATTTTGCCGACTCAGCATCTTGCCTAAAAACTGTTATGATGCGTGGGTTGCAAACCAGGTTCAATAAAATGCCTTTTTTATCTCTATAGGAAGGAGACTTGAGGTTGCAGACGCGGCTTGCAATAATTGAAAATGAGCTTGTTGGTGAATAGATATGAATACTTGAAAGGATAAAACATCGAGGACGGGATTGAAAGAAGTCCTGTTTCCATCCCTGTCCTCGAAGTTGTATCTTTTCAAGTATTCGTAAAAGAAAGTGTAGAGGAGTATTTTTAAAATAAACTTTTTGAGATCGAAAGAATATTACGATAAAATTGTGTCTTGACACTTTGCTATGGCAGCATGTGTCCTTTTTTGCAAATATATATACAGATATATATATATATATATAGAGAGAGAGAGAGATAGAGAGCGGATGATTAATATTGATTCAAACATTTTTTTCTAAACGGGTGATAGTTACATAATAACGTCTTCACCACACTTTCATCAGGCTCGACAGAAAATATATCTGGAAATAACACTCACGATACGTTCGTCAATAAATAAATTGTGTGTGTGTGAAAGTTTTCGATCCTTTTAGTTATGTTGCAATTTCAGTATTCTCATCAGTAACAAGTAAACTTATTTACACTAGTTTCTAAATCCAAACAATCTTGGAGATATTTTGTCGATCAGTTTGCGCAGTTTTGTCAAATTATTTTGAAGCCGTACGCAAAACGAGTGTGAGACTTCCTGTCCCTAATTATGCACTGAAATTAACAACAGTTTTCCTGAAGGGCATAAATGCGACACATCTTTTTTCACAAAAAGAATCCCGCAATATTTACGCTGGTGGAGGTCAGGGCACGCTCTAAGCCGCGCCCACAGATTAGTGGCACCGCCCATTACTACCGAATTGGCTTGGCTGCTCGGCTGGGCAGCCAAGCCAATTCAACCGACGCTACGAGCTGATAGGTCTGATCAGACAGCTTACTAAGCGCACCATCATGAATTTCGTCATGTTTCTGTACGCGTTCCGTCATCGCGGAACCAATCACAAAAATAAAAGCCAGTGACTTGCACTGTTTACCCTGCTTGATTGGTCCCAATTGATCGTAGCATCGTCGGCGTCTGAACTTAAGCTGAAAGAAGCATAGAACCGCATCCACAAAGCTTAGGGGTATCACCATACTCAAACAATATGGCAATACCATATTGTTTCGATATTTGTACAAGCAAAAAATCATCAACCTCATCAAAAGCCTTTGATAGACCGAAGTAATTGGAGTCAAACTGACCTCGATTTTAAGGGGTTTGGGGTTTAATTGGTTGTCTGATTTAAATTAGATTTACAGGGCTTGTTTCCGTTAACGTTGAGAACATTTCTGCCAAATTTTGTTAACCTGGGTGACGTACAAAAAAATTGCAAGTGTTCAAAGATGAAAGTGGGCGTGTCTGTGTAAGAAAACTATCGTCTTAAAATCACTTATAAATTTGTCATTTTCATGTTTTATATTGCTTTAGGGCAGTTCAGAGCAGATAACTATTGAGCTATATTTCTATATTATGCCATCTTTCATGACAGAAAAGCCAGAAAAACACAAATACTCTTTTTTAGATCTTCATCCTTTGTCCAAAAGTTTAGTTCTTGAGCATGAAAAATGACAAAAAAATACAAGCTCATAGTTATCTTCCCCTTAAAATTTCATCCTAGAAAAACTTCTATAAGTTAATCCAAGTTACGTAATAACAATATTTCCTACAGCGAAATTTCTGCCAAACACTGGAATGGAGAAAAATGCATTCGAAGTGCTCCAACCTCTCTCTACTTTGGTGGACCAAAAAAAGTTATGAAAAATTAATTATGCGGTGTAACCTATTGAAACATTCTGGGAATACCCTCTGGATGTTGGTGGATGTAAATATGATATTTGTCAAAATCAACTTTTTTTGCCGAAATTGTTTTTTCTGGGTAGTGTCTCCCCTTAAACAACCGGGTCTGAGTGGTCTAGGCACGAACAAAGTTCAGTTTCATCTGAACGTCCTCTAATAAAGCCAGGTTGTGTCTGCGTCAGTTACTTTGATAAATGAGAAAAAATACACGTTGCCATACTGGTATCAATTACTTTAGCGAAACGACGCAATAGTGACACAGAATGGTAATTCGTTAAAATGCAGGCATCACCATTTTTATGAATGGCCACGGCGATGGCTTTCTTTCACGTCGTGGAAAATTCGCTTATACACAAACACAGGTTAAAAATATGTGCTAATACATGAGCCAGCAACCAGCAACAGCCTTTAATAATACAAAGTGGAATTTCATCTACGCCAACAAAAGATGTTTGTTTTTGCTTATTTGTAGCTGCGACGGCGTCCCAAGTAGCTACACTGCCCACAGAGTGAGTCAGCATCACTCGGCACGTGCAGTCGGTTTGATCTCCCCGAGATAATGATGTGCACAAAAGAACTTTATGCGTTCAGTTTGAATATGAGGCGAAAGAACGCGACTGCTACACGATGAATATCTCGAAGCCCGTTGGCGTCTTTAAAAGAGATTAAGTTGGTTTCGTCTCTAATTATAATTGTCAATACTGCACTTGCAACATTATCAATAAGCCATCAATTAAAGCGTGATTGCATAAATTGTAATTAATCAGCCGACTTAATATGACAGTCATTTCCTTGTCCAATATTTACCCACCCTTATAAATGCAAGGTGAAGAAGGCACATGTGTAACACTCACCCGTTTAAGAAGCCTATTAGATTTCAATATGAAACACCTTGTATATTTTTAGAATGATCTTGACACGTAACGACACAAGGTGGTACGTGCACTTAGATTACAAAAACGAATAAGGCTTGCCTCACATAATCGCTACACATTCTGCAGTTGCCAGCACAACATTTTGGAAATCAATGGCGCCACAAGAAACGCTTTTGAGTTGTTGCTCATGAAGCAGCCTCAGACGATTGGCGGTGTATGCAGTCAGATGAATATTTGGAATTTTGTAGCTGTGAAAGTTTCACATTTTGCTTAGACACATTATTCAGAATATTCTATATCGACATGTCATACGTTTGGCAAGAAAACAAGAACACATATTGTGGCAGTTCCAAAAAATTCCACATTCCGAAATATGCAGCTGTGTACATTTTCGACTGTGAGAAATTAGTGTGAAATTTAGAACTAAAACATATCTTGCTACAGGCAAGTATTAGCCGTTCTTTATTTTACTCTGGGCATATGCATTTGTGGTGAGATAACTACGAGTGCCGATGAAAACGCTTTCCTTAATTTTCAAGTGGCAGTTCTTATTAAAGCTGCCTCTTGTACTGATGATGCTTTTGTTTTGCAATTAGTATTAATTACATCTTTTCATATAATTGCTTCTGTTTCTAGGGCTTAGGAATTTTCGTTTGCCACGTGCTAATGAACAAGAAAACTCGAGACGCCATTAAAAGAAGCATCATGAACACTGGAAGCATGGTGAAGGGTTCGGTGAGCAAACCATCATGGCCTCGGTCCTTTTATACGCAGTTGCAAGCACACACGATAAGAGTTCATGTGTCGGCCCTTGCCGGCACCACAAGCAAGGTCGTGTTAGTTATCACCGTTAAAAAGAGTATAAACAGGTTTGCAATGCTTTACCCAAACAGCTGCTCAGTCTTCCTAGTTTCGGAGAAAGTCAAGGCCGCAATATCATTTGCCACCCGCTTTAATTTTCACGACACCTTTCATAAACTTTCCCTCTTTCCTTCTGGTTTCCCTTGCTTCCTGGGATACGCATCGTTAAAATATTTTGATTTGCGAACTAAAGTTCACACAAAAAGACGCATTCCCCTTCTTGTGACAGTGAATGTTAATTGTAAGATAATGTTTTTCATTGTTATTGTTTTTCGGCTTTTAGGCATTAGGGTAAACATAAAAGGGTAAGGTGTCGCCAAGCATTAACATCTAGTTGTAAAATCCCCCTCTCTTCTTTTCCTCTTTTTCCCTTGCTTTCTGAACTACACCTAGTTCAAAATATTTTGATTTGCGAACTAATGTACGCACAAAAAGACGTATTTCCCCTTTTTGTGAACGTGAATGTTAATTGCGGGATATCGTTTTTCATTCTGATTGTTCGTCGGCTTTTAGGCGTTAGGGTAAACATAAAAGGGCGAGGTGTTGCCAAGCATCAACATCTAGTTGTAAAATCCCCCTCTCTTCTTTTCCTCTTTTTCCCTTGCTTTCTGAACTACACCTAGTTCAAAATATTTTGATTTGCGAACTAATGTACACACAAAAAGACGTATTTCCCCTTTTTGTGAACGTGAATGTTAATTGCGGGATATTGTTTTTCATTCTGATTGTTCGTCGGCTTTTAGGCATTAGGGTGAACATAAAAGGGCGAGGTGTTGCCAAGCATCAACATCTAGTTGTAAAATCCCCCTCTCTTCTTTTCCTCTTTTTCCCTTGCTTTCTGAGCTACACCTCATTCAAAATATTTTGATTTGCGAACTAATGTACACACAAAAAGACGTATTTCCCCTTTTTGTGAACGTGAATGTTAATTGCGGGATATTGTTTTTCATTCTGATTGTTCGTCGGCTTTTAGGCATTAGGGTAAACATAAAAGGGCGAGGTGTTGCCAAGCATCAACATCTAGTTGTAAAATCCCCCTCTCTTCTTTTCCTCTTTTTCCCTTGCTTTCTGAACTACACCTAGTTCAAAATATTTTGATTTGCGAACTAATGTACACACAAAAAGACGTATTTCCCCTTTTTGTGAACGTGAATGTTAATTGCGGGATATTGTTTTTCATTCTGATTGTTCGTCGGCTTTTAGGCATTAGGGTAAACATAAAAGGGCGAGGTGTTGCCAAGCATCAACATCTAGTTGTAAAATCCCCCTCTCTTCTTTTCCTCTTTTTCCCTTGCTTTCTGAGCTACACCTCATTCAAAATATTTTGATTTGCGAACTAATGTACACACAAAAAGACGTATTTCCCCTTTTTGTGAACGTGAATGTTAATTGCGGGATATTGTTTTTCATTCTGATTGTTCGTCGGCTTTTAGGCATTAGGGTAAACATAAAAGGGCGAGGTGTTGCCAAGCATCAACATCTAGTTGTAAAATCCCCCTCTCTTCTTTTCCTCTTTTTCCCTTGCTTTCTGAGCTACACCTCATTCAAAATATCTTGATTTGCGAACTAATGTACACACAAAAAGACGTATTTCCCCTTTTTGTGAACGTGAATGTTAATTGCGGGATATTGTTTTTCATTCTGATTGTTCGTCGGCTTTTAGGCATTAGGGTAAACATAAAAGGGCGAGGTGTTGCCAAGCATCAACATCTAGTTGTAAAATCCCCCTCTTCTTTTCCTCTTTTTCCCTTGCTTTCTGAGCTACACCTCATTCAAAATATTTTGATTTGCGAACTAATGTACACACAAAAAGACGTATTTCCCCTTTTTGTGAACGTGAATGTTAATTGCGGGATATTGTTTTTCATTCTGATTGTTCGTCGGCTTTTAGGCATTAGGGTAAACATAAAAGGGCGAGGTGTTGCCAAGCATCAACATCTAGTTGTAAAATCCCCCTCTCTTCTTTTCCTCTTTTTCCCTTGCTTTCTGAGCTACACCTCATTCAAAATATTTTGATTTGCGAACTAATGTACACACAAAAAGACGTATTTCCCCTTTTTGTGAACGTGAATGTTAATTGCGGGATATTGTTTTTCATTCTGATTGTTCGTCGGCTTTTAGGCATTAGGGTAAACATAAAAGGGCGAGGTGTTGCCAAGCATCAACATCTAGTTGTAAAATCCCCCTCTCTTCTTTTCCTCTTTTTCCCTTGCTTTCTGAGCTACACCTCATTCAAAATATTTTGATTTGCGAACTAATGTACTCACAAAAAGACGTATTTCCCCTTTTTGTGAACGTGAATGTTAATTGCAGGATATTGTTTTTCATTCTGATTGTTCGTCGGCTTTTAGGCATTAGGGTAAACATAAAAGGGCGAGGTGTTGCCAAGCATTAACATCTAGTTGTAAAATCCCCCTCTCTTCTTTTCCTCTTTTTCCCTTGCTTTCTGAGCTACACCTCATTCAAAATATTTTGATTTGCGAACTAATGTACACACAAAAAGACGTATTTCCCCTTTTTGTGAACGTGAATGTTAATTGCGGGATATTGTTTTTCATTCTGATTGTTCGTCGGCTTTTAGGCATTAGGGTAAACATAAAAGGGCGAGGTGTTGCCAAGCATCAACATCTAGTTGTAAAATCCCCCTCTCTTCTTTTCCTCTTTTTCCCTTGCTTTCTGAGCTACACATCATTCAAAATATTTTGATTTGCGAACTAATGTACACACAAAAAGACGTATTTCCCCTTTTTGTGAACGTGAATGTTAATTGCGGGATATTGTTTTTCATTCTGATTGTTCGTCGGCTTTTAGGCATTAGGGTAAACATAAAAGGGCGAGGTGTTGCCAAGCATCAACATCTAGTTATAAAATCCCCCTCTCTTCTTTTCCTCTTTTTCCCTTGCTTTCTGAACTACACCTCGTTCAAAATATTTTGATTTGCGAACTAATGTACACACAAAAAGACGTATTTCCCCTTTTTGTGAACGTGAATGTTAATTGCGGGATATTGTTTTTCATTCTGATTGTTCGTCGGCTTTTAGGCATTAGGGTAAACATAAAAGGGCGAGGTGTTGCCAAGCATCAACATCTAGTTGTAAAATCCCCCTCTCTTCTTTTCCTCTTTTTCCCTTGCTTTCTGAGCTACACCTCATTCAAAATATTTTGATTTGCGAACTAATGTACACACAAAAAGACGTATTTCCCCTTTTTGTGAACGTGAATGTTAATTGCGCGATATTGTTTTTCATTCTGATTGTTCGTCGGCTTTTAGGCATTAGGGTAAATATAAAAGGGCGAGGTGTTGCCAAGTATCAACATCTAGTTGTAAAATCCCCCTCTCTTCTTTCCCTCTTTTTCCCTTGCTTTCTGAGCTACACCTCATTCAAAATATTTTGATTTGCGAACTAATGTACACACAAAAAGACGTATTTCCCCTTTTTGTGAACGTGAATGTTAATTGCGGGATATTGTTTTTCATTCTGATTGTTCGTCGGCTTTTAGGCATTAGGGTAAACATAAAAGGGCGAGGTGTTGCCAAGCATCAACATCTAGTTACAAAATCCCCCTCTCTTCTTTTCCTCTTTTTCCCTTGCTTTCTGAACTACACCTCGTTCAAAATATTTTGATTTGCGAACTAATGTACACACAAAAAGACGTATTTCCCCTTTTTGTGAACGTGAATGTTAATTGCGGGATATTGTTTTTCATTCTGATTGTTCGTCGGCTTTTAGGCATTAGGGTAAACATAAAAGGGCGAGGTGTTGCCAAGCATCAACATCTAGTTGTAAAATCCCCCTCTCTTCTTTTCCTCTTTTTCCCTTGCTTTCTGAGCTACACCTCATTCAAAATATTTTGATTTGCGAACTAATGTACACACAAAAAGACGTATTTCCCCTTTTTGTGAACGTGAATGTTAATTGCGGGATATTGTTTTTCATTCTGATTGTTCGTCGGCTTTTAGGCATTAGGGTAAACATAAAAGGGCGAGGTGTTGCCAAGCATCAACATCTAGTTGTAAAATCCCCCTCTCTTCTTTTCCTCTTTTTCCCTTGCTTTCTGAGCTACACCTCATTCAAAATATTTTGATTTGCAAACTAATGTACACACAAAAAGACGTATTTCCCCTTTTTGTGAACGTGAATGTTAATTGCGGGATATTGTTTTTCATTCTGATTGTTCGTCGGCTTTTAGGCATTAGGGTAAACATAAAAGGGCGAGGTGTTGCCAGGCATCAACATCTAGTTATAAAATCCCCCTCTCTTCTTTTCCTCTTTTTCCCTTGCTTTCTGAACTACACCTAGTTCAAAATATTTTGATTTGCGAACTAATGTACACACAAAAAGACGTATTTCCCCTTTTTGTGAACGTGAATGTTAATTGCGGGATATTGTTTTTCATTCTGATTGTTCGTCGGCTTTTAGGCATTAGGGTAAACATAAAAGGGCGAGGTGTTGCCAAGCATCAACATCTAGTTGTAAAATCCCCCTCTCTTCTTTTCCTCTTTTTCCCTTGCTTTCTGAGCTACACCTCATTCAAAATATTTTGATTTGCGAACTAATGTACACACAAAAAGACGTATTTCCCCTTTTTGTGAACGTGAATGTTAATTGCGGGATATTGTTTTTCATTCTGATTGTTCGTCGGCTTTTAGGCATTAGGGTAAACATAAAAGGGCGAGGTGTTGCCAAGCATCAACATCTAGTTATAAAATCCCCCTCTCTTCTTTTCCTCTTTTTCCCTTGCTTTCTGAACTACACCTAGTTCAAAATATTTTGATTTGCGAACTAATGTACACACAAAAAGACGTATTTCCCCTTTTTGTGAACGTGAATGTTAATTGCGGGATATTGTTTTTCATTCTGATTGTTCGTCGG